CTCTCTCTCTCTCTCTCTCTCTCTCTCCCTCTCTCTCCCTCTCTTTCTTTTTTTTCTCTTTTAATAATTTAAAAGGACTGGCTATAGCAGTCAAAACTTAGACTGTAAATTTGAAAGTTTCATGTAATTTGGCTATAAATCCATCTGTCCCTGGACTTTTTTTTAAGCCGGAACGCTTTTGTGGTATTTCAATCAGGAGTCATAGCCTGATGATTCTGCTCCAAGGTTCATTCTGCTTTCTTGCACAGTTTCTTAGTCTGCACCATGGAGGGATCTTGATTGTGCTTTATGAGTCTGTTGAGTTGCTGCTTCTTTTCGACTGGTGAGCTTCATTTTCTGGAAGGATGTTTCAAACACATCCTGATGTTGAGACTCCCGTTGTTTCACACTGGGGGTTCATATGCTGCTGTGGTATTCACCTCAGTTGATCTGAATCTGAAACAACACAAACAAACCCGCCTCCCCGTGGGTCCCTGTGCCTGCTAGGCCGTTATCTCTCAGAGGGGCACCACCACCATAGAGGAGCTTTCAGCCTAGTTCTAAATGCGTCTCCCGTTTCTTTTCAGTGCTTTTCAGCATAGGGTAGTTATGCTCATTCAAGATTTCAAGTCTACAGAGATTTGAAGACTTGAAGTTTACAGAGACTTTATAAATTGGTCACAAGGGAAAACTGGAGAACTGTCCCCCCCTTTTGCCTCATCCTCCAATCTGCTCTGTGTAAATGAATTATATTTGTATTTAACATGACTACAAACATAATTCTGGGTATATTAAAGACAGTTGATGTATAAATAATAATCATTAACTTTTATATTTTAATAGTTTATTACAAATGAGTCATTTTTAATATTAGAATTTTATAAACTAAGGTAATTTATCCACACAGTTTTGAATTGAAACTCTTTTAGTACCAAAGTAAACTTCAATCTACAGTCCAAAAAGAAACTGGGAACTTCATTTTCTTGAATTTTTGTATAAGGTATTCTTTATAATGTAAAGTAACTTATTTTATGTTAAGTAGTTTATTTTATCATAAAGTATGATTACAGGTAAACACAGTAAGATTGAATTCTATAAGGAGATATAAGAACAAAAATTTGTGCAATTAGTCTTTACCTTAGTTTTTGTTACAACTTTGTTTTTGAAATGGTTAAAACTTAACAAAGTTGTGAAAGACATAAGGGGTTATCTTAATAATACATATACTTCAAAGTCAGTTTTAATTACCATAAATCACTATGACCTTAGGAACTTATAAATCCTAGTTTTCAAACATGTATCGTCCTTAAGCCTCATCCTCCACAAACCTTGTATAACTTACTTACACCTTTAGTCATTGACTGAAGCTTTTATGGTTTTGTCTTTATCTGTTATTTTTTAATTTTAAGACAAAATCTCATTTTATCATATAAAAATCATCCTTATCCAAAAACTTTTTCCTCAGAATATATTTTTAATAGAAGTTAAAAAATATGTATTTTTAACATTTTTTCATACATATTGTGGTGATTTGAATTAGAATGGCTCCTATAGGCTCTAATAGTTGAATGCTTAGTCAGCAGGCAGTGGCTCTATTTGAAAGGATTAGGGGATGTGGCCTTATTGGAGGAAGTGTGTCACTGGGGTGTGTGTGTGTGTGTGTGTGTGTGTGTGTGTGTGTATGTGTAAGAGAGAGAGAGAGAGAGAGACAGAGAGACTTTGAAATTTCAAAAGCCCTGGTCAGGATCAGGTTCTCTCTGACTGTGGATATAGCGCTCAGCTACTGCTCCAGGGCCATGAGTACAGTCATGCTTTCTGCCATGATGATAGTGGTCTAACCCTGTGAAATGGTAAGTCCGTCCCTGATTCAGTGCTTTCTTTTATAAGAAGTTGTGTGTTTATGGTGTCTGTTCACCTAGAACAATGGCTAGGACACTGATTTATCGTTTCTTTTTATTTCCCTAAACAAGAGTTGGATCCAAATTACATACATGGCAAATTGTACCAAATTAAGATTATCTGTACACATTAACTTTTGTTGTTGGAAGTTTTAACTAAACCCTTTCTCTGCTTAGAAATGTACATTTTTTAAAACTCTCCACTCCCGTGACTTTACAGATCCTGAGAGTAAGAAAGTTTGCGTTTTAACAAGAGCCTCAGAGATATTAATAACCTTAAATGAGGGACACTTTTTTGTAAACAAGACCCAGAGGCAGAGGGTGGGTGTGCATCCAGAGACCCAACATCTATTACTGTATCTGCCCATCTTCATGCTTATAGACAAATCTCTCCTGATTAAAAGTTTTTAAATTAAACCATTAGACATAAAAATATTAGCCTTAAACCTATCATCTTTGTAAGAAATTTTTCTTAAGGGGAAGTATTACGTACTGTCTACTTTTATTGGCCTATACTCAGTACAAATAACAGTCTTCTCAGCTGGATAGGTGGACTCCTCCCCTCTGTTAGCAGTTTTTAGCCTGTACACCTTAGCTCCTCCACAAAACCTTGAGGT